TTCCTTCCTTCCTTCCTTCCTTCCTTCCTTCCTTCCTTCCTTCCTTCTTTATTTCCTTCCTCCCTCACCTTCCCTTCCCTTCCCTCCCTGACACAGATATTTAATAATTTCATGAATATTCATTTCAACTCTTTAGTACTTCTGGAAATGATTATTAAGTTAATAGTCTAGATCTGGAGATTTTTGTATTAGAGGTATCAATTCAGACTGAGATAATTTTTATTAAAGTCCTCATAAAGATTTTTCAACCAATTAGAGGAATTCAGATCTCTATGAAGATTTGAAACAGGAAAGAATTGAGGATTTTTATGAAGGTCTGACTGAAATAGGTGCCTCTCGGATGGGTTTAACTCTGGCTAGATAGCATTTTATATACTTTAATATACAAACAACTCAGAAATAATTCTTTTGAAATCATTATGTGTTAGATGTAATAAATTCAAGTGTCCCTGCAGGTGGAGATGGATAATTGTTTCCTGTACTTAGTTCATCCAAATGTTCTTTTGGGTGTTTGTTTTCCAAGCCTTAACAATATTTTATTAAAATATGATGAACTGTAATATTACATAAAATATTTATGTTTCCATTTTTTCTCCATTTTGCTGAAAGCTGCAACACAATAAGCAAACCAATTTGTTATTCTCCCCCAGGCTAAAGATGTGGTAGTAACTAGCCAAAAAGCATCCATTTCTGAGAAAACATTTGATCCCAGGAAACTGCAAAGAAATCTAAGAAGGTAATTGTGATTTCCCCCCACTCCTTTGGCACCTCAGTGTTACACTGAAAGCTGAAAATAATGATTTATTGGCAAATATGATCAATATAATGTAATAGTGAGTAGGAGCAATAGTCGTAATATTGGTTATTGTGAAACCAAGTTTTACCTGAAGAGGGCTGACCAACAGTTTGTCCATAGGAAACCCGTGCAAACTTCTCTGTTTCAGTGGCTGAGTTAAGAAAGTTCTTACAACTCTAGGAGAACTATATTATTTTTACTATTTCTTCACCTTGTTATTGATTATACAAATCCCATTCCCCCCTCCTCTTCTAGCCAATGTTAAACTTTCTGGAAAGGACTGTTTTCCAACATGCTAGATTAGGGTGGGTAACACATTACCCCTGGCAGTTGTTGGACTGGGGGGGGCAAGACTTCCATCACCATTTAACCAATAATCCTCTGCATGAAACAAAGCACACAAAAAAAAGGTAACAGTTGAATTTTTTTTTTTTAAGCAAAGGCCACACAACACAACTTTTGCATTTTTCCCAAGTATGGGTTCCTTGGTGCTCCCTGAGCTTGGTTGTTTTCTTGCAGACATTTTATCACCATACCAGGTAGCATCATCAATGCTAGAAGGGAGTGGGGTTTTCTCTCTGTTTATGCACAAGTTGCTTGTTTTGTCAGTGTTGGGGCTGTTCTTGGTGGTTCCTTGATTAGGCTGTAGTTTACTATAAGCTTGTTTGTCTGAGTTGGTAATTCCTTGATTGGGAATATTGTTTAGTTCTACATTGTTGGTCTATTATAAATCTTGGCATGAATCTCTGCTTATCTAGTTTGCTGGTTTGAGTCTTTTTGTTCTTTTTTTTTTTTTTTGGCTTTTCAATTGTCCCTTTTGAATGGTGTGGAGATGTTGCTTATTTCTATGTGCCTGTTGTTGGCTCTTTTCCAAGTGAGACTCTCACTGATTCCATGCAAGAATCAGTCATGCACTGAATGCAAGACTGTGACAACATTTTTTAAATTATGCAAAGTACCGTAGGTAGAATCTCACAAAACCTCATGCAAGTAATAATTCTTCTAGTTTTAGCTATCTTGTATAATTTGGGTCATTTGTAATATTCCACTATTTATAGGAATGAGTGGGAGATAGTCAGGGGCACCACATATGTCACATCACTTGTGGGAGCTGCTTGGCTGACCCTTGCCATCTAAAGTACTTGCTGTAAGATGGAGTAATTGTTGCAGTCTTATTTCAGAGGTATTTTAATATTCTTACATTCAATCTTTTGAGTGCTTTCCTTCCTCCCAGCTGTTGTTGCAAACTTGTGAAAAGGAAAGGCAGCCTAAAAAAATATTTATTTATTTATTTATTTATTTATTTGTCAAGCAAGTATTAAATAACAAGTATAAGTATAAGCATGGTTATGAATACATGAAATGGATACTAATAAAAAAAGGAACAATAAGACAGGGACAGTAGGCACGTTGGTGCACTTATGCATGCCCCCTACAGACCTCTTAGGAAAGGGGTGAGGTCAATAGTAGACAGTCTAAGGTTAAAGTTTTTGAGGTTTGGGGAAGAAACCACTCTGTTGCTGAAGTCGTATTTCCATATTTCCAAGTTTGGTGCGGTTTACCTTGAGTTTGTATCTATTGTGTGCTCTTGTATTGTTGTGGTTGAAGCTGAAGTATTCATTGACAGGTAGGACATTGCAGTAGATAATTTTATATACTATACTAAGATCAGCATAGTTCTAGGTTGTCTAGGTCTAAAATTTCAAGCATAAGGTATTCTGCTACGAGTAGAGGACTGGAGAACTCTTCTCATGAAATATTTCTGGACTTTCTCAACTGTATTAATATCCGATATGTAATGCTGATTCCAGACTGATGAGCTGTATTCAATATTGGTCTAGCAAATGTTTTGTATGCTCTAGTTAGTAGTGTGATATTACCAGAGAAAAAGCTACGTAGGATTAGGTTAACAACTCTTAATGCCTTTTTGGCTATGTAGTTACAGTGGGCTCTAGCACTTAGATCATTAGAGATGAGTATTCCAAAGTCCTTGACATAGTTGGGGTCACCAACAAGGTCTTGACTATTCAGCTTGTATTTTATTTTCTGATTTTTTTTGCCGATATGTAAGACAGAGCATTTGTTTGTTGAGATTTGAAGTTGCCATTTGTTTGATCATTCTGACACGTAGTCAAGGTCATTTTGAAGGGTATTGTTAGTGGTGTTGAATAGCTTTACATCATCAGCTAAAAGAACGCAGTTGCTCTTAATATGATCACAGAGGTCATTTATGTAGAGTATCAAGAGAGTTGGTCCTAGAACGCTGCGTTGGGGGACACCACTGTTGACAGGTACAGGATTTGATGGGGCACTCCCTATTTTGACCATTTTTGCCTGTTTGACAGGAATGCTTCTATCCAGTTATGTAGGCGTCAGAGATACCATAAGATTTTAGTTTTAGGAGTAGTTTGTCGTGTACCACTGAATCAAAGGCTTTACAGAAGTCTATGTAGACTGCGTCTATTGTTTTGCCCTGATCGAGTTGTGTAGTCCATATGTTTTTGCAGTGTAAGAGTTGCAGATTACAGGATAGTTTTTTTCTGAAACCAAATTGTTTGTTAGAGAATAGGTTGTTTGTATCTAAGTGGAGGATAATGGATTGGTTAGGGTTATTAAAGACTCTATACAGGGATGTGGTCTGCATGCACAAGCAGACTTCTCTTTGCACTAATTTTTAACTCTTCCAAGTCCTTTGGAGAATCTAATTTCATGGAAGCAATTTTTGTTTGATCAACAATGAATTGGAGAGGTTATAATGTACTTTTAGATGTTAGGAATGTTGAATGGGTGAATGCCAAAGAGCCCAGTCTTAATTAAAGGCATAATATAAATATCCAACTGTAGTTTTGATAGGAGATTGTGTGGAATTCCCCAGAATCCCATAATCTGCAAAGGATGACCCCATAGGGGCCTATTAAACAAACGCTCTAGACATGATATTGGTCAGCTCTAACGTTAGGGATGATCTTCAGGGTCCCCTTTTCATGTAGTGTGGAAAGGGAATTTCACGAAGGCAGTAGTGTCACAAAAAAAACAAAAACAGGAAAAGCCCAAGGGGAACATCAGGTCAGCCAGAAAACAAACTTACATAGGAAAAGGAATCAAATAAAAAGTATTAAAGAATCCCTATAGACAAAAGCCCAAGTAATTAAGAAAACTAGACAAATAGGAAAAGGAAACAAAAGATAATTTAGAAAACCCTTTTAAACACAGGACATACCAAATAAGCAAAACAAACAGACAAAAGACACAAAATATAAGTTACAAAAGGGACAGACAGGAGATTGCCACAGAACAAATATGAAAAACTATCTTAAAGCTAAAAGAGATTACAGAAAACCAATAATACAATCTGGCTACCCTGCGGAGTTTGCCCTCTGGCGGAAATAAAGACAAACTCAAACAGGATTTGAAACATTAGGGACAAATACAAACACTCACACAAAATCAACTTACAAAGAGAGAAAAGGGTATAAAAAAACAGGGACTTACCATAAGAAGCTAGCTAGCCCAGGAACACAGACTTCTTGCTGTTCTCCGCCTTCCTGAAAAATAAAAAGATCCAGCTTTCAAGCAGTTGTCCATATCCTTGCACCGGAGCTCTCCCAGCGGGAAAATCGAATCCTCGAAAGAAAGGCATTTTGACACCTTTCAACAGTAGGTTGCTCACAAGTTTAATTATTTGCATCTTCAGCTAGTAGAGAGTTGCCACCATGCAACTTTCTTGGTATTCCTAATTTTGAATATTGGTCCCTAAGTGGTTTTTTGTTACATAGGCAATAAACTGCCCTCATCTCCATAGTACAGCATAACATTATTATCTGCTGGGCTCCAGAGTAACAAACAAACAAAGGATGAGCTGGGAATCACTAAAGGGAAGAGTTATTAACAAGCTAATTCAGAGTCATAATACAGTTTTTGCAAATGTGTCAGGGAGACAGCAGTTAATTACTTTACAGGGATGATAATTTGTACGGTGTTTTTTGTAATATTAAATTCACTTTATCAAACAGCTTAATAGCAGACCAAGACCTAGCTACAGAGATAAAAAAAAGAATAATCTTCTCCCTGACTCACTAAAAAGCCAAGCTAGATATTACTTTAATTGCGCGAATTCGGCAATTTTTATTTATCTTCTTTATTTTATTATATAAGTAGCTTCTCTTGGAACAGTGAGTCAAACCGGAGCAGAGAGAGGGACAAAAAAAGAGATGGAAAGGATTAAAGAGAAGATACTGCAGAGATACAATTCAAATGGTGGGAAGATATTTCAACTTTCTTTCTAATTACTTTTCCTTCCAAGTCTCAGCATTAAATGGAGAACATACTTCTAACAATTCTCACTTTTGAGGAGCAGGGGGGAGGGGGGGAGAAAAAGAGGGAATCTAACACCTGCATTTCCTGCAGGTAACAGCAGGTAACAAATGGATTCTCTTAAGCCTCAAATATGCTGACACAATTAGTCATAGAAAGATTTTCAGTCGATTTCCTACAGGGTAGAAGTGACCACAATCTATTATCTACCAAAAGATGATTATATTTCTCACAGTTTGGAGGGGATCCACATACTAGGAAAAAGTATTTGCAGGGGTGTTGCAAAATAAATAGAATTAGTTATTGAATGAATCTTTTTTTCAAAGAGGCTAAGCGTGCATAAGAACAAGGGGGGAAAAATTAAGGAGTTCCAATTTTGTTTTGTTGAAGCAGAGTAGGAACTGGCTTACTTTGTAAATCTGGACTCTGAATGTTTGATTCTCCAGTCTCTTTCAATGCTACACACTCTCACCTCTCCCTCTTGCTAAGCACAAAGAGAAAAGTCATTTGCAGAAGTTCCAAGGGCTTGAGATTTGTGTGTTGTGTGTATGTGTGAGTAAGTGTATAAAGTGTATGTATATGTGTGTATCTCACATTTTAGAACTGCTGCTGATGTAAGAGGACTA